GAAAATCCTATCTGGAGCGCCTTGCCAAGCCCTGTCCCCAAGAACGGGATGAGTTCTGGCACAGCTCCGAGGTGCCTGATTCACGGGCCATTTCCATCTCTCTGGGGAAAGCTGCATGTGAATAGCATTTTGGAGCCTGCCTCTGGTGACGGCATGATTTATATTCCCCAGAGCAGGCAGGATCTGGGCTTCTCGCAGGGTCTCTGGAACAGATGCTGGCAGGGCAGGTGGGTACTATAAGCAGCTACTGCCTGCCTCTGGACTGCTCCTTCCCTCTAGCTCCCCTCTTAGCCCTCACCAGGAGGTATACCTTGCTGCCCTGCGCTTAGGCCAGCTTGTACTGACTTTGACCTTTTGCCTTCACTGTTCTCCATAACTTCCAGACCTCAACCTTCTACCCAACTCCAGGCAAAGGACTAGGGCGAAGTCCAGCCAGGACTCTGGCTAATGGGCAAGGGCCAAGTCAGGGCCTTAGAACAGGAAGAGTTCTCTTTTACCCTCCAGAGTCCAGGAGTAGAAAGGGCCCAGGAAGGATGTCTGAGCCAGAATCCTTAGGCTGAGAGACCCATGAGGGAAGGAGAAATAGTGTGGCCAAGTCTGGAGGGCAAGACAGGTAGGCAGGGCCAAGGGTCCAGAGCTGGGTACACAGGAGCGGAATGTAAGCAGACTGGGAAGAAAAGACAGGTGGAGCCTTAGCTTTTGGTGCCTCCCTAGCTTGCCAGGGCTGGGCAGCTGGTGGGTCAGGAGTGCCCTCCTTTTCTACTCCTACTGCCTTGCCAGCCAGCTCATAGCCCTCTCTCCCTCAAGTTATCCTCTGCTGAGCTATGCCCGCCAGTTTTGTCTGCAAAGCCAATGTGTCTCTATTGTTTCTTCTCCGTTTCAGATCATGGCCATCAGAATAGTGGCTAAAATCGGGGCTGTGAGATTAAATGCTTCAGGGGCTCTTTCTGCACAGCCACTGTTTGTTTATTCACATTCTCATATTTCTTCTCTTCTCCTCTCTTTCTTTTCTTGCCCTCTCACCCACTCATCCTGTACTGATTGTTCATTCAATCTCTCTCTATACATACAGGGACTACTATGTAATAATTTATTTTTCATGTTGCAGAGATTAGCCTGCCTATCTAGCAGCTTCTCTGGGCTTCTCAAGGGCAGAAGCATTCTTTATTTGAAGTAATCCCAGCCCCAACTGAGTGTCCGGCATGCACTGGTTGCACAGTGATCTTTTGAGGGTTGGTCAGCCTGGTGACCAGATGAGTGAGTGCGTGGCACCAAAGCTTATCTTAGTTTTCTGACTTCCTCCCAGGATTTGGTCATAGCAGGATTTTATTTATTATTTATTTATTTATTTTTTTGGAGACGGAGTCTCGCTCTGTCAGCCAGGCTGGGGTGCAGTGGCACAATCTTGGCTCACGGCAACCTCTGCCTCCTGGGTTCAAGCAATTCTTCCACCTCAGCCTCCCGAGTAGCTGGGATTACAGGTGTCTGCCACCACGCCCCAGCTAATTTTTTGCATTTTATTAGAAAGGAGGTTTAACCATGTTGCCCAGGCTGGTATCAAACTCCTGACCTTGTGATCTGCCCGCCTCAGCCTCCCAAAGTGCTAGGATTACAGGCGTGGGCCACCATGCCTGGCCTTATTTTTTTAATTAACATACAGTATGTATCAGTCAATATCAAAGCAAGAATAAGAAACTGCACAGTAATTTGCACAGAAATAGTTAAAGAATTGTTAACTCTAATACAGAGTGGAGTAAAAGGGATTGGCTAATAAGAAGGAAGAACTCTAAAGAATACTAGTCATACTAGATAGTAAGCACCTTGAAGGCAACTCTAATGTGACTCTTATCTGTTTGCCCCTATGTTCTTACACATGGACCCCACCCAGTAATCATTGTTGAAGCAGTGTGAATTGAATCAGGGCCTATGGTGACCAGATGTGCCATCTCTAGAAAGTCATTCAGAAGAATGGGTGTAAGAGAATGGGTGTACTGTGAGGACTGGTGGCAGGGCACTAGGGACTCCTACTACAGAGATAAGAGGCTTGTTTTGTAAATGGGAGATCCCCTTATCTGTGACATCACCTGTTTGTTTTTCCCTTCAGTGTTAATACTTTGAAGGGTCAGGAAATAGGAAACAACCCCATTAAGCAGGAGATTCTGAGGGCTCAGTCTGTGGCTGACAGTAAGAACAGAACTGCAAGATAATGGAGGCTGATACCGGTCCCAGGCAATTCTTCTCCCCTTTGCAAAGCGCTGAATGACAAGCCGATTTCTCAGCTTCAAGCAGGCAGTTGCATTCAGATGATAAATGTGTCCCTGGATAGAGGAGCTTGTTGAGTAATATTTACCAGGGTCTCTGTGAAGGGCCCTCAGCTCCCAAAGGAGCCTTTCAAGCCCTCACCTGCTTGGCTGTACAGCTGACGTCCATGAGGCAGTGAAAGGGAGGAAAGCTCTCCAGCGTGATGGAAGCCTGCTGATTTGTTTCGTTGCTAGAAGTTTCCTGGTTTCTCCTAATTCCTATATTCAGCCCTTCCCTGTCGAAGTCAAACCCCAGGAGAGAGAAGCATGGCATCTGTGAGAAGCTATAGCCTTTTAGCGGGAGGGGGAGGGAGGTCAGTGAGTGCCACAGATCTGAGCTTATAAAGAGCAGATTTTCTCTTTCTCCACTCTTTTGCTCTGTCCAGGTCTTCAATGGATACTACTACTACCTAATACCCTTTGGCTTCTCGGAACCCCTGTCACCTTAGATGTAATATAGAGATAATAAGAGCTACCTCACAAAGTTGGCATAGAGAGACAATTAAATCTGTGTAAAAATACTTTGCACGATGTAAAATTCTCTCCAGCATAGGACATGCATTCATTCAGCAATTCCCCACTGCATACCTGCTGCATACCAGGTACTGTGCTGTGTTTAAACAGCCAGTTCCAGGCTATGAAGGCTGGGAAGAAAAGCAGGCTAATAGCCAGGACTTTACCCGCCATCAGTGCAGTTCTGAGATAATTCCTAGGTGTTTTTAGCTGGGTTCTCCAGAGAAGCAGAACCAATAAAAGATACACACACACACACACACACACACACTATATGTATATATGTATATATAGTGTGTGTGTGTGTGTATATATATATAGTGTGTGTGTGTATATATGTATATATAGTGTGTGCGTGTGTGTGTGTGTATATATATATATATATACAGACACACTAATTAGAGATAAATAGGATGTGCTTGTATTTTTATCTGTTTTTCTAAAGAGATAAAATAAACTTATTATAAGGAATTGGTTGATGTGGTTACGGAGCCTGAGAAGCCCCGGAATCTGCCACAGCAAGCTGGAGACCCAGGAAAGCCAGTGGTGTAAGTTTCAGTTCAAGTCCAAGCCTGAAGGCAAAGATTGATGCCCCCGCTTGGAAACAGGGCAGAGAGAGCAAATTTTATTTCTCCACTGCTTTGCTATATCAGGCCTTCAGTGGATCAGCAGATGAGGCCCTCTCACACTGGGGAGGGCAGTCTACTTTACTCAGCCCACCAGCTCAAATGGTAATCTAATCTAGAAATACCCTCACAAACATACCCCAAGTAACGTTTAACCCAATATCTGGGCACCCTGCAGCCCAGTCACATTGACATAAATTTAACCATCACACCAGGGTTGGTGTTCACATAGAGCACTCAAGTTTGCATAGCAGCTTTACATGCTGTGTTTCATTTGGCCCCCAGAATGAGCCAGTGAGGAGCTTAGTTCCCGTCTCTGTCACAGGTATCACCAGGCTGGCCATTTGAAGTGGGTGATGTTTGCCTTAAACCCAAATCTCTATGCACCAAGCCTTATTCTTCTCGGTGACAGGAGGCCTGCCCCTTTCCAGAGACCCACCTGCCTAGCACATGAGAGGCTTGTGAGTCTGTCTGCTGCCTGCAGTGCCCTGGTGCCCTCCACTTCTTCACGCTGGTCCTTGGTTAGCAGGAAGGTCTGAAAGTATTTTTCCTGTGGGCTTAGAATTATCTGTGGGTGAGATATCAGTAAGCATCTCAGCAAAGTCTGAATGTGGCCCTGATGCCTAGGATAGGCGAGGGCTCAACAGCTGAGCCTTTGTGAGCCTCAGTTGGTTGGGAGGTGTGGTGTGGTATGGGGGAGGATGGCTGCAGGTGGGCGGTGCCCCCACAGACACATTTGCCCCAGCCTGGCTGTCTGTGTCTCATCAGAGCACGGTGCATGGCTTTCACATTTAATAAGCCCTTTGCTATTTTAATCATCCTTATGAATCAAGGTACTCCTGGGCATTTCTGTTTACTTAAAACTCGTTGTGAGATGTTCTGTTAAAGTCTGTCATTGGGGAAATATGAATCTATTAATTCAACAATGGTCACTTCCTCATGCTGAGCTTGGAAAATGGGCCAAATCAGTGGCAGTTCTCAGGTTTGCATCTCCAGCAGTGCCTGCCCTGCCAGCATCGCAGATACTTGCCAGCATGTTTGTCTCCTCGTCTGGAAAATGCTATTTTAGGCTTCACGTCCCCCTTGCCTAGACAGTAACCAGCACAATGTAGTTGCTTAGTTACTGTTTCTGGAATGAACTGGACTACAGCTTGTGGAGGGAGGATTGCCTCACAGCTGCCCTTGCCTCAGCTCTACGCTGGGAAGAGTGCCTGGCCAGCCCATCACAGCTAGCACCTCACCTAGTCTGTCATGCATGTCCTGGACGCTGGGAATGCAGTTCTTACTCAGACACAGCTCCTGCCTGTAGAGAGTTCACAGTAGAGCTGGGGGTGACAGGCCATAAACAACGAACCAGAGTTCATCTTGAGAAGCAGTGGACAAAAGCAGCTCCGGAAGAGGGCCTCAGGGACACTGAGGAGGGAATAGGGGGATGCTGGCATCTGGTGCCATCGGCACTGGAGGATCGTTTGGTGACAGAATGGCACAGGACTTCAGAGCCGGCTTCCATAGCTCAGTGCTTCCTTTTTCTGATTGGCTTTTTCTGCAATTTTTCCTGCAGGGCCTGTGCCAGCAGTGAGACGGAGAGTGAAGCAGGAGACATCATGGACCAGCAATTTGAAGAGATGAACAACAAACTCAACTCAGTCACTGACCCCACTGGCTTCCTGCGGATGGTTCGCCGAAATAACCTCTTTAACAGGTGCACGTGGGGCTCTTCCCGCAGGCCCAGCGCAGGGCAGGGTGCTCTGAGCACAGATAATGTGCTTTCAGTGGATGCTCCTTCCGGCTGGTTAGGCTCCTGGCTCGTGTCATGCATTTGCAGCAGCAAGCGTGATGCCTCCACAGCCCATGCCCGTCAGGGCCTCTGCTTCACTGCAGCATCTCCCGCTCAAGCGAGAGAACAGTGGCAGGCTTGACGTGACAATTCTCATTTGGCTGGGATGGGAGTCCCAGGGGACAGTTGGCTGCTTCTTCACGTAGCCTCAGAGCTGTCTTTCCCAACATCAGGCAGAAGCCAGAGTAACTTCACATACTTCTTTGCTAACTTCTGCAAGTAACTCACGGGCCAGGTACCTGCACTGACTTCCTGGCCTGACATTCAGGGAGGTCAGGGAGAGTGGGAATGCTAGTGCTGTTGGAGGGAGAAACTGGGCCTAGGAATGCATTCCTCCAGACCCAGGCTCACCCGTCTGTGCCAAGACCTCACTTCCCTGTTACCTGACCAAATAGGACTTAATGGCTTTAAGATGAATCAGGTTTAAAATTTCCAAGCCAGCACACCCCTTTTTTTCCTCAGGAGTGATACCCGAGCTGGGTCCAGATAAACAGGACAGGCAATTGGGGTTAAGGGACACCTGTCCCACTGTCATTTGGTTGCCAGGCAGCAACCTGGAAGTACATGTCGATAGACCTCTTTGGAAAGACGTCACAGACTCCCTAGGTCCCTGCCACAACCTGAGGGCTTGCCGTTAAAGGGCAGCTGGTTGACCCTGGAGCACAGGAGGGAAGTGACTGTGCACTGGGTGGGAGGCAGCCTCTGCTTGGCAGCCCTGCTGTGCAGGGCATTGTGTGCCCTGTCTGTTCCTACTCCAGGCCCTAGTTTCCTCTCATTATTGTGCTGTCAGGGTGACAAATGCGTGTTGACTTTCCCAGGGCTGAGTTGAGTGGGAAGGGAGCCAAGGGCAGGGGATGGAGGAGCTGGCAGCCTGGTTGTAAGGAGGCCAGAACTTCCAGCTAGCTCGCCCCTAGCCCCTTCTCCCCAGCACCTTCACAGTTGTCTCACTGCTTTTGGTTTCATGCAGGACACAACCAGGTGTGAGGAGGCCTGGGACTGGGCCTGGCCTCAGGTTCTTGCCCTGCCAACTTCTCAGCCAGTGAGGCAGGCGACACTTACCTCCGCCGTGTGATGCGAGCTGAGGAGATAAACTATACAGCGTGAGGAGCTCGGAGCGCAGCCTCAGCCTCTGGCCTTGCCACTCACGAGCTGTAGGACGCTGGGGAGGCAGCTTCACCTGTCAGCCTCAGTGTCATCATCTGTGAAATGGCGATGGCTTCTTACCCTGCAGGCTTCCTGTAATGTGGGAATAAAGGAGCCAACGTATAAATCACACACTGACCAACTTAAGGCATGGTAGGCACTGTGCAGTTGGTGGGTTTCTGCTGTTTTGAGTAAAGTTGGAAGGGTAGTGCTGAACTTAAATTCTTAAGATAACGTGGCGGGGTGGTGGGGGCGCACGTTGGCTCACGCCTTCAATCCCAGCACTTTGGGAGGCCAAGGTGGGCAGATCAGGAGGTCAGGAGATTGAAACCATCCTGGCCAATACAGTGAAACCCCATCTCTACTAAAATACAAAAAATTAGCTGGGCGCGGTGGCGCACGCCTGTAGTCCCAGCTACTCGGGAGGCTGAGGCAGGAGAATTGCTTGAACCCGGGAGGTGGAGGTGGCAGTGAGCTGAGATTGTGCCACTGCACTTCAGAGTGAGACTCCATCTCAAAAAAAAAAAAAAAAAAGATAACGTGGGAGAGAAACTTTGGAAGGAATGAGACGTCTGTGTGCCTGTGCAGCAGCTGTTGGCCACCTTGGGTTGCAGCGTCTTCCATCCTTCTTCCCTTCCTACCTCAAGTCCTTCACATGAGAGAGCTGCCAAAAGACTGTCAGGAATCCATGATGACCTGCTTGCAGGCACTCAGGCAGTCAGAACCAGTCCCCCAGGACCTCAGCACTATGGAAGAAAAGGGTCAAGCCAGGTATACCTGGGGCCCTAGCTTGTCAACCCTGGGCCTGGGGGTGGTGTGCATTTTGAGTGGTGGAGTCCTCATTTTGAAAAGATGATTTTTTTTGCTTTTGTTTTCGTTTTTGAGATGGAGTCTCACTCTGTCGTCATGCCGGAGTGCAGTGGTGTGATCTCAGCTCACTGCAACTTCCGTTTTCCAGTTTGAAGCAATTCTCCTGCCTCAGCCTCCCGAGTAGCTGGGACTACAGGCACGCACCACCAGGCCCAGCTCATTTTATGTATTTTTAGTAGAGATGGGGTTTCACCATCTTGGCCAGGATGGTCTCTATCTCTTGACCTCGTGATCTGCCTGCCTCGGCCTCCCAAAGTGCTGGGATTACAGGCGTGAGCCACCGCGCCTGGCCTGGAAAGATGGTTTTTGTTCTTCTGAGCAGCCCTGCAGTAGCTTCAGTGAGCACAGTACTGTAGATGAATTTGTTGATTCATTGTTGATTCATTGTAGATGAATTTGTTGATTCATCACAACACAATCTATGCCTCCAGCCAGGCTGAGTACTATGCCCAGCCCTGGTGACTGAGTGGGGAGCTGCAAGGCCCACAGCCCCAGAGCCTGCACCCACCTCCCTTGGCAAGGTCTGACCCAACCCAGTCCCACCTTCTGAAAAGCAAAGCAGTTGAAAGAGTCTCCGCAGACTCTTCCAGTCCTGACTCTTTAGAGGACACCAAGGGCAGATTGGATGAGGGAGATACCCAGCATTCTTCCCACTTCAGCGCAGTGAGCCCTTAAGGCCCAGGAAAGTTTGCAACACTGTATGTTCTCTGGTACGTCTCGGAAGCACAGGAAGGGGGGCTCTGGCCTTCATCCCACAAGAGAGTGGAGCTACTGCTGACGGAACCACAGAGGCCAAGGCATCCTTATTAGAACAGTGCAAACCTGCCTTGAAGACTTTCAGTGCAGCCTCACATGTTATAGCTGAGCACACATAGGCCAGAGAGGAGGGAGACCTGCCCACGAGCAGGTGCCAAAACACGCCTCACAGCTTCCCTGCCAGCCTGTCCCGGCCACGCTGTGGGCTCCCAGGCCTCCCTCTCTGCCCCATGTATGGCCAGGGATCTGGGCTAAGAGGTGCACTGGCTTGTGACTGAACAGAACGGCTAGAAGTGGCTATTCTGCAGATTGCTGATAGTGGTTAGCATTTGCAGAGTGCTCGTACCCTAGAGCCAACAGAGGTGATGTGGAAGCAGCCATGTGTGTAGGGCCTGTGTGCTGGAGCAGTAAGGGCTCCCCTCTCCAGGGACTCTCTAGCTCAGTGATTTTATGGATTCCTTGGCCCCTTTGTTCCTGGGTGGTTTGCTGGACTGATTTGGCAATGAGGCCACTGTAGCTAATGCAAGTCAAGTGAGACTTGGCTTTAGGTTTTCCTCCCTTGCCACTCCAGGAGTTGGTCTTTGTTCTGCTGTCATTTTTGAGGTCTCCGCAATCGTTATTTTTCTTCTTGCCTATTGGCAGAAAACACATTTGCATTTTGAACTCAGGGCAGGTATGGCTCTTGAATGAAAAACAAAGGCTCTTCTCTTGGCTAGCACCCTGACCTTGGTGTGAGCCCCAGGGGCAGAGCAGCAGCCCTACCCTTTGAGAGTGATGCTGAGGACTGCTAGGCCAGCGCAGGCATGTAAGTGTGTGTGTGTCTGGGGGGGTACTGTGGGAATGGATGTATGTATTTGTATGTGCAGGGTTGTGTATGTGTGTGTTTGTGTGTAGTATGTATATGTGGTATGTGTGTATGTGACTGGACCTGGGGCAGTCAGCAGATCTCATTTGCTGTAGAAAAGAGAAGGAAGAACAGGACAGGCTTTTGACTGCATCTTGGATCCTGGACTACAGGGAGTGCCTTGGTATTAAGGTACGCCCATCCAGAGTCATTTAGAGCCAGTATTTTCCTGACTTCTGTAACCACTACTGATGCAACAAGCATCCTGGATCTTTAAATTTCCATGTTGTGTCTTTGTGGAACACGATGTGGAGAGGGACTTTGTTATTGTCCAGAGAGCAGTGACTAGAGCCAAAAGAGGACAAAGGAGTCTCCTTATTCTAAAGAGAGGTGCGCAGCAGGGCCAGAGCCCACCCTCAGGTCTCTGCAACTTCCCTCCAGTGCCCTGCGACACAGTCCGGGTCTCCCACAGGAGACTGGATAAGGAATCAGCAAGAGAGAACCTCAGCTTGGTTGGGGGTCCTTCCAGAGAATCCCCAGCAAAAACCGGGGTCCTGCTAGATGGGAAAAGAGGCATCTTCATCCCATGGGCCCAGCCTCCATGACTACAGGGCAGGGAGAAAAGAAAGAAAGGAAGGCTCCAGGTGGGAGTGAGCCAGCCACAGTGCTCAGCGTGCCCATACTTAACATGGCACGGGTGTGTGTGTGTCCTGCTGGGTGGATCACATGGGCCCAGCACCTTACTGGTTCCCCACCCAGGAGGTTGTCTGCTAGACAGGGACCTCAGCCACATGTTATGAAGTGTGCAAGCCAATGGCAGGGTGGAGGGGTTCTGGGGGAGCTGCAGCTGGCTGCCATGTTGAGGGGTGCAGAGGAAGGCCCTGCAGAGCTTTTCCCTGCCCCTTTCCCCCCTGCCCTCAACACCTGAGGGTCAGGCCCTGAAAGTAGAGAGCATTAGTGCTCCCAGAGCCTGCCCTGCCCTCCAAATCCGTGCATGAAAGCCTGGCCTACAGTGCAGGTGGGAGAGAATGAAATGACTGTAATACACAGGAGGATTTCCTGAAAGCTTGGGGAAGAAAGCATCAGCAGGACAGTGGAGTGAAGAGCCATCTCCGCAAGGCCAGCCTGGCCAGTAAGCTGGGACCTGGCACACATGTGTCCTGCTGTATGTGCATCTACATGGATGTGTAATTGTAATTCTTTTTTTTTCCCCCAGAGACAGAGCCTCACTCTGTCACTCAGGCTGGGTTAT